CCCAGCACTGCAAATTGCAAGAACACAGAGGAGCTTTAGGAGAGGATTTTCAGCATGTCTTGCAAACTCATGGAAAACAAAGCTCATCACATTTTTACTAGAATATGTTGAAACAGCAAACACCTAGGGCAGAACAAAACTGCTGGGCAGTTGCACACGCAAGTCTCAGTTTTCTTTTATTTAAAACTCCCGATTATAAGTTGGCTGACATGTTTCATACCTGCAGCTGTGCTTCACTCTTGGGATCCAAAGGTTTCTTATAGAGCAAGTGTAAATACCCCAAGCTATGATTCCGTTCATTTTGTTCTCTAGCCTCTTCTACCCCTGCAAATCCCTCCAGCAAGGTTGTCTTCAGAATACTAATATCTCCGTGAAGTGACTGCAAATAGAAATAGAACAGATGGGACAAGGTTCAAAGTAACATTTTTTCATTGCCATCTCTAGCTCAGGGGCTTCTGCAAGTGTCTGCCTGAAAGCACAAATGCAAACGTCACCCTCACATTAAAGCAGCATAGTCAGATGTTCCATCTACATCAGCTCAGCTTTAGTAGGTTAAGCAGGAACATCAGGTGAGAAACAGTCATTGCTGAGGAGCTAAACAGTTTGAAGATACTCTGCTCACCTCTGTTGTCTCTTTAATTTCCAAGAGGAAGGTGTGAAGATCATCTGACTCAGTTCGCAACATCTTCATTTCCTCTGGAGTACCAACTTGGAAACAGGCTTTAGAAGTCCGGGCCTTCAGTTCCTCCATCTCCTTTTGAAAATGTGCAATCTACAAAGGGAAGCAGCAGAAAGTGCAGCCACTGAAACATAGCAGGGTCTGGAACAAATGTCGCAGCTCTTGGATAATGTTTCTACTACACCATAAACACCTGTCACTTTGCAGCCAAAGGAGGAAATTCTTCTTGAACATTAACAGGAAAGAATACTCAATTTTTCCAGCACAGTGACTAAAATTAAAGATGACTGAACAGGACACACAAACAGCAATTACAAACCAGGCTGATTATCTTGGGAAAAATTTACATTCTGATTCCTAGACTGCCGACAGACACCATCAGAACATAGGTGAACTGAAAATTAGTGCCTGTGGACCTATACAGTGGTCTTACAGCTTCTAAAATGAAGAAAACTGCTTGAAAATCTCACCTCCTCTCTGATTCCTGCTATGACAGGGTCTGAATCCTTCCACTGGTGGGCCTGTTTCTCTAAAGCTGTGCTGGGGAGTGCCGATTTGCCCTGAAAAAAACCCAAACCAAAACCAAAAACGCTATTAGGGATATTCCTTAGCAACAGGGAGCTTAGAATATCAAAAAAGGCCTGCTGTTAGAAACTCCATTCAGACACCAGTCACCAAGGAGACAATTGTCATAAGCATAAATACCAGTTCCACAGTAAACTAAGACTGGTATGTGCATGTTTGAAGTAGGACTGAGGACTACCTGGAGATATGTGGCTAAAGCTTTATGAAAGCAAAGGAAATCTTTGTGTGCTGCTCTGTATTACTGCTTTGATTTTAATATCCAACAAACTTGATGTCTCTCTTAATACACGGTCAAGGCATCTCTTGGCTGCTTATTAGCTAGGAAAGCTGTGAAACCTCATTTCCATAACAACAGGAAGAATTAGTTTCTACAGCTCTGATTATGACAACATACATCAAAACACAGCTCTCTAAAGCCATGCATAGAACACAGTTTTAATCCCACAGATTTGCTACTATTTTAATGTCAAAAGCTAGCTAATTCTTGACCTAAGAACAGTCATTCAGTCCAATAAATTCTAAAGCAATTCATGGGCCATATAAAACATTCACCTTCTAAAGAATCCACTCAAGTTCCCATTACCTGACTAGAGCTTGGCTTTGCTGCAGACGGGGTGATTTTGGCTGTCTTCTGTAGTAAAGAAGCTGAAGGCATATTTTGAGCAGGACGTGCCACTGGAATTTAAAAAGAGGAACAGCAATTTATGAACTTATACAAAGCTTGAGAAAACAGGTTGCGATCAGACACAACCATAATCACCACTGTCAAATCCAAAAGCAATAGTGGTATGGGCCGCAGCGCAAGAACACTCCTTCCTCAGGTGCTGTTTTACTCCCATCCAACTTCTCTGCTAATGGTAACTGTCACTCTCCGATATCTGGCTGTACTACTCCTGAAGGACCTCAAGACCCCCAGTCACACGATCATTTGAGAGATGGAGTATTATTCTACTAACAAATGAGTGCTATCTAATATAAGCTCATTTGTGACCATTTTGAACTCTAGTCACTCCAGATGCAAGATAAGGCACTGGTTTGTGTGACTGCCCAGGAACATTCATCATCAGAGATGTATTACAGAGCACTGAAAATGCCAGAACTTCTGGATGACTGTAAGAGGCTGAATACATTCATTTCACATATGGCTCTCTGGGGAACAAAGGGCACAAATGGAAAAACTTCTCAGTTTCAGTACTAAGTCCATCACATTGTTGTGGTGTGCAAAACAGGACGTCCTGTACACCAATAAAAGCAGCAGGAAAAACAAGAAAGAAAGAAGCCAAATGAAGCTCACTATGTCCTAAAACTTTTACAACATTGTTTATAATGCATTATTCCCAACACTATGCATCAGACTCCTACCTGTGGCAGGCACAGGGGTTGAAGCCTTCAGTGGTGCGGTAGGAGAGGCTGTGAGGGGCGTGGACGCTCCAGAAGCAGTTTTTGAAGTGGTTGAGAATGAAAACATTGTGGAAGTGCATTGACCACTGCTGCTAGTGGGAGAAGAGGTGTCTACAGCAGTGAACCTGCAACAGAAAGCAGAACATCTTTCAGCTCTGAACTGGTCCTGGCTGTTTCCCTCCATTCAAAATGAAGGACTAAGTTCTAATTAATTAGCACCCTCCGGGATCAGCAACAACTCAAGCTCCAGATACAAAATTACAAGTGTAGCTTCTGGAGATAGTGGGAAGGAGCCATTCAGGATCATTTCTGAATATGTGGAACCACAAAGACTGCTACTAGAGACCCACACAGTGAGCAAAAGCCAAATGCCAGCAAAAAGTACTACTCTGCTTCAAAATGCACCTCATCATTTTCCACCAAAGCATCAACTACAGCAAATCTGAGCTGCCCTTCAATATCATCCTTGCAGCGAGGCTCAAACAGAAATTCTGCAAGAAAATATGAATTTCCATTCATCTGCAAACTCAGCTCCTCAAGGCAGCCAATTTAAATATTCAGCCAATTCACAAGCGTATCATTTGCTTTATACACAAAATATAAAATTTAAAAAGCCGTAAGAGCTACCATCAGACCTTGGTGTAGTAAAGATTTTTCTAATTAAAAAAAAGAAATTTCTGATGGTTCAAATGATTATTATGAAGCATTTACATGAAAATTGCTCTCCATAGCAAGCAGCTCCAATTAACATAGCTCTGTGTTTTAAACCATTCTTTCTAAAAAAGAGCAAGTCTCAGGAGTTGGAGGGAAGAGTGGGTATATGAAATCTGAGAACGTTCATCACTCAAATCCATTTTGGATCATTTCTAATCAATATTAGTTTTCTTTCAGTTGGCATCAACAAGCTTGGAAGATTTCAGATCCTGTGTTCAGTGACCAAGCATCCATTTAAGAACAAAACCAAAAGGTCTGGCACCTTCTCCACTGAACACAGGAGTGGAAAAGAAATCCATCAGCTATGGATACAGCTTCCTCTCAGCTCCGCGAGTTACTCTTTAGGTTGGGGGTAAGGAACCTTCAAACAGTCAAAGAAACTTGTGCTACCACCACCACACTAAACCAGTCCCAGACATAAAGAATTTCAAACACCAGTGTTCCCCAAGAGTCTTTAACCATGACTTGCATCAAACCAAGGCACAGAATTACCGTTTGATGCCTATGAAGCAAAGACATGAAAACACTAGGTCTCTGGCAAATTATCAGTCTAATTTTTGGCATCGTCCCTCAATTAATATTTTGCCCACGAACATAATCCCTAGCATGGGAAGCACTGAGGGTTTTCACAGCCAAGATGGCTATGTCTTGGATAACGAGAGGCTTTCTCAGTGCTTTCTTGGGAGCATGGGGAACAGCTGTCAGGGCAAAAAGCCAGAAACCTTCTTCAGAACTACCTCACATTGTTCATGCCTGGAGCAATTTAACAAGTATCCAGCCACTGCATTAACTACTGTATCTATTTACTTCTCACTGAGGTTCACTTTGACTGAAGAAGCTGAAGGTGCAAAAGATGACTTCTGTGCAACAGGTGTGGTGGAGAGTGGTGGCCCAGGCGAGCTGTCTGCAGCGGGTTTAAAGTTCATGGATCCAAACGAAAAGGAGGTGGCAGTGGCTGTAGTGGTGCCTACAGAAGGAGCAGGAGTCACAGATGCCTTAGGAGAAGCAGAGGAGAAAGAGAACGTTGCTGCTCCAGTCAGACCGGGAGCCAGGGCTTGTCTGGAGGCATCAGTGGCAAAGGGGTAAGGCGGAGGATCGCTGCCCGTAGCGCCAGGCATCTTCACAGTTGAAGGTATAAAGGAAAAAGCAGCCGCTCCACCCGCTGCAGGAGGCTGACTTGAGGCAGGTGCAGTAGGAGCAACACCTGGTACAGCGTCAGGCTTTACAGAAGTTGGAGGAGTGGTTGGAGTTGTGGCAGTACTTCCTGCAGAAAGACAAATGGGGAAGGAAGAGACTCATTTGGCTGTATTGACTAATGGCAGAAGGTATTGCAAGGCCAAACGCTATTTGACGGGGACAGTTCAACGCTCTCTCGCCCACTGGACAGACAGTACAGTGAGGAAGAGAGATGACAGAGCCGGGCTTCCAGTCCCCAAACCCAGTAAGTGATATAGAAAGTGCACAAAGTCCAAGCCACGATCAATACTACAGTCTGTCTAGATTAACGTTGTCTGGAATTTCTTGTGAAAAGGCTTCACCTTTCTCCATTGATTTTGATGAGGTTCCTGCCATCTCAAATAAAGCAGGCTGTCAGCACACAAGTCAGCCAGTGCTGCAGAGAGGCAGGCTGCCAAACCAAAACACTCTGTTTGGGGAAGGAGAAGCAAATTTGGGCTTAGGGAAGAAAACGGTGGGTTTGCAATTATTACTGCATGCATGCAGACAAGCAAAACAATCAGCTTACCTGCCTACCCCAGTGTAGGAAACTGCCTACTTCACAAGGCATATGGCAACATATATATAACTGATAAAACTGCTACTCTTCACCCACTAACGCAATTTTCAGAGTGCTGCAGAAAGCTATTGTTTAAATAAGCTTTTACTGCAGCCAAACACCTTAGTTCATATAATGGCCTCCCGTGGCAAAATATATGGAGGAAAACCATCACATCTCTGCAGCATGCAGACCGTGCTCTGGGTCTGCGCAGTGCTTGATCCTTGTCCCCAAGCAGAGCCTGCAGTCACTGCTGCAGTTCTAGTCAGACACCCTAAAGCTGGGCAAAGGCCTCCTAGAATTTCTTTGGCCCTGTTCCCCAAAGGTCAACTGCACAGCAGAGTCTAAGTGCACAGTTCACAAAGTGCTTGAGATCCCGTATAATGAACGGGACTAGACAATTTCACACTGCTGCACAAAAGACAGAGGACAGTCCTGGGAGCACAAAACACTCAAGAACTGCTCCCCACTATCATTATAAAGAAAAAAATTATTTTCTGTGACCACATACATGTGTGAATACCAAACTTACAGACGAAGATGACAAAGATCCATAAATGCAAATGTCTCCCTAACCCACTGGAGCACTTACCTGCTGATTTTGGAACCCTCTCCCCTACTAACTGCAACGGCTCTGGGGTCACAATAAGCGATCTGACCCCCGGGTTTTGATTGATCATGTAAAATGGGCAGAGCACACCATCCGTAGAGAGCAGGATCAGAACTGGAGCTGGAGCAAGGGTCTTCTCATCACCTGCCAGAGACCACACATGTAAGTCCTGCAGCCAAAGCTTCCTGTTCTGTTCCTACTGGCATTGGCACCTTCATGTGACTTGCTTAGAACATGATTTCTTACGTTTCTCCCTTCTTGCTTTCACTTGCATCTTTACTCCTTTGCTTCTCTGTGAATGCCCAGTTCTCTTTTTTTCCTTCTTTATTCCTTCCTATTCCTGACTTCATGTTTCAGAAATTCATAGATGAAGGGTTATTTTGACAATCAAATGTCATCTCCTGAATGACAAAGCCCAACTTTCAACCATGAATTCCTGTGCCAAGCTTTTTCATATTTTGAAGTAGTCCTTTTTTCCACCTATACTCTGCTCCTTCCTTCAACCCTCTATGCCTTTTGGCAATCCCCACATTCCATTGGGTCCATCATTAACATTCATATACATAAAGTACAAACGAGAATTGCTAGATAGGAAGCTTTTTAACTTTAAAGAAAGCCAACATCAAACAAACATCCTGATGATCTGAACCTCCGATATAAGATACTTGCGTTTTGCACAGCTGCAGCTTTCAGCCTAGAGTCCGCTTCAATTCAAATATTCTCAGCACAATTAAAGGCCCCAAACTACGCCCTGTATTTCTAAAAATTTTTCTGTATCGGTTTAACTGTGCTTAATTCCACATGGGAACAAGCTCCAGGACAAATGAGGTTTCTTTGCAATCCAAACTTGCTGTGAACTGCAAAGCCAATTAATGTGCAGCCAAAACCGAGCTGATTGCACTCTGTGAGAACACAGAGAATGTGTTAGCAAAACGCTTCTCCAAAAACCTTTCTAAAAACTAAGGCAGTACGACCTGGGCTTAAAAAAAAGCTGTGCTGACAGATTCCTTAATCCAATAACTGTGTAGATTAACAGAGAACATGCTTCAAATTCAATTTTGCATTCAAGTACAAAGTTTGACCTCAATTCCCTACTGTAGGTTTTCATTCAGGTAAAGTTCTCAGTTAATCGGCACCCTCCTGTGCTCTTCAGGAACTCTTGACTGCAGCACCTTCCACTCTGCCTGAAGGCATCTCTATTTCAATCTGTCTCTAGGTTTCAAGGGAGAGTTTTCAGAATTCACTAAGGTACAACACAACAGCTCAGATGTGTCTCCAGTTTCAGCCTCTGACAAGGTGCTTTGAAGAGCCTTCAGGCAGCACAGAAGATACAGCAGTAATGTGACTGGCTAGATGTAGAGCACAGCAGGGTTCAGTCAGTACAGGCCCTGCGCTTTAATGCGGAATTAAAACCCACAGATTCACCTCAATGACCTTTATTTTTTCTGGCTTTGAAACTAACCCACTTTTCCTTTAGATCAGTGCAAATGTACTTCATTACAAAACAGTTCTGCAAAACGACATAAGCTACAAGAATAAAGAAAACCTCCCCAGCAGCCTGAAATCCCCAGTGTTAGAATACGACTCCTTTAAATTCACAATTATCCCAGCTCTGTGAAACACAGACATAACTCAGGTGCTTTGTTTGCCATGTCTGTTAGCGTAGTATCCCAGGCTGCTGAAAGCTTTGAGGAAGAACTGTATTTACCACTTTGCCATTTGAATCCTTACACAGAAGTAAGCCCACATGCGCTGTGGGCGTGGTACAAAAAGGCAGGATGTATTCTCTGTGCTGGCCTCCCTTTCAGAATGATCTCCTAGAACCCTGAGAACCAGGCTGCCCCTCAAAAATATCTCATATATCGCTATTACTGGACTATTCCACAAGAAAGACTGACAAGACTTACTGATCGGGATAGGCATGTTACTGGTGTAGTCTACAGCAACGCCAACAGGCAGAGTGTCATCGCTCTTATCTGTCACAGGAAGTTCTGCTCTGCTGGAGTCCTCCAAAACCCATGATTCCCAGTTCTGAAAAAGTAAGATCATTATTTTGACTACTGCTTTCCTGTGATCAGTCTTCTGCAGAACTCCAGCCTACTACAGTTGAAAGACTACAAAAAAGCTAGAGAGCATCTACTTAAATTGGTCAGACTAACAAATGCCAGAAGTATCAGGGCCCTTCACAGATTTGTGTAACTTCTCAGACACCACTGCACGTCAGAGTTAAGGCCAGACAGTTTTAACGTTTAACTTCAACTGATGACCTCACACGAATCACTTTATTATAGTGAGCTTGGCCAAATTTTGAGGCTGCCAAGTGAATCATGAAAAACAGACTTCTGGTACTTGGTTCACAACATACTGTGTTTCTGTTTATCCCTTCTCTTTTGTGTCACTCAGATCTCTTGTTCATCTAAGAATTATGTTTATCTTAAGATTCTGTACAACTCAGATGTAAAAAGAACAGGGGTTTTTGTTGTTGTTTTGGGGTGTTTTTTAAAATTATACCATCTCATTGTATTCCAGGTCTTACATAGGTTATACTTGCTTAGGTTTTCAAGAAAGAGGAGGTACATATGCACAAATGCAACAGGAACAAGAATATTACCTGATCCCCTTGCCTGGCAAGAATGCTGACTTCTGTGGAAGCTGCTGAAGCTGCCAGAACTAGATCCCTGTAAGCATGGACACAAATAGGTTAAAACCAACATGACAATCTACAGCAAGGTCCCCAGCCCCACAATTCATTATCACCTATATGAATTCATAACTAGGAATACAATTATAACAATACGAAACTGACTTTTCCTCCCAAGATGAAGGAAACGTGATTTGCTACATCACTGTAGACCGTTTTTTTTTTCTTTAAAAACTAGTCACCAGGGGCTGAAACCCTCTGGCAACCAATGATTTGACAGCCACTCTATCATCATAAATAATGACGGACTAAGTCAGGTAGTCAAAAAGTTAGGAGCAGCTTCTTCACACAGATACAGAATTAAGCGAGACAAAAGATCATGCTTTACCCAACCAATGACTTATAATCTCAAGGGAAATTGTTATGACAGATTTTAAACAATAATACATATTCTCACCAGACAAATGAGTATGTTGGCATGGAGACAAAGCACGCAGGAGAAATTAGCTGTACTTACACAAAGCATTTTCAAAATACAATTTCATTTGTCTTGTATTCAGGCATTATGTAGTTTACAAAAGGGAGGAACACAATACACTGAGAAGCTTTGACCACTCAGACATGCATAACAAGGGAAAGACTCTGCCATGATTCCTGCTACTCACCATTCCTCAACATAGTTGAGGAAGTAATGATGCTGTCTCTCTGTGCAACTCCCATAGCAAGGCTCCATGAAATTCACAAACTTCTCTGGTCGCTTCTCTTCCTTTTTCTGTAAGACCAACATGGATAATTTACCTTCCAACGCAGAAATCAAGTAATCTCCCATAAATATGACTGCATAGGGGTACAGCAATAATTGCCACACACTTCAAGAGAGAACAGGCATCATAAGACCACTTGAAAAACAAAGAACAAAGCAAACAAACCAAACCCCTCCTCCAAAAGATAAAGGGACAAGAAAGAGGTGAGAATTCCAGGGACTTTAGATCTCACACCCCCCCCCCCCCCCCCCCCCAGCAATAAACACCCTGATACTAAATAAGTGCATATCCTCAGGCCTAAAAATCTCCCTAACCTAAACAAAAAAAAAAAAAAATATCAGGACTCTGCATCAGGTAAGGTTTTCTTCCCAAATGTTTACTTCAGAGGCTAAAAGTCTTCATGTCATAATTTGATCTTGGCAGAGAACAGGTTACTGATCGGTTTTCAAGTGGATATTACTTCCTCCACTCAATCCCCCCCCAAGCCCAAACCCATGATTTACAGTAGTACCAAACTCAAATTCTACATGATGCCAATGTGAATAATAAAAGCAACTTGCCATTGTAATATACAAGTCAAAAACAAGCAATAAACATTTCTGTTGTTGTGACTTGCTGGCACTTACAGGCAATATGGCTATGACCACTTCTGGAGGTGTTTCCAGTGTCCCATCAGCCGCTGCGTATACGATAGTGAAGACATACGTGCCAATCCACAGTACATCCAAAACTGAAAGAGAAGGAAACAAACACCTCAGCCAGAAACACTTCAGAACGATCCTTCCTTGTATGTTGATTTTAACTGCGCACAGCACACAAAAGCAAATGACAAAGAAACAAATAAGGAATCACTAACTTCTAAATTACCAAGATAAAGAATTTCAATGATCTGTCTCCAGAACATCAATCTTATTAGGGGAGAAAACTATTTGATCCCAGAAATTTCAAACGCAAACTAGCCGAACATATTTGATTTGCTCGATGATATCACAGGCAAGACAACGCCAGTGTTTTCAAACATGGATGATGTTTTGGCATATCCAAATGAAGTGTTTCTGCTTTTCTAAACTTACTGCTTTGACATTTTATTGAAGAGTCAAAATGATGAGATGAAACTCACACGAAATATGAGAATGGGATTTATATCCAGAATTCTTCACGCTAAAGGGAGATTACTTGTGACAGTACTGTCTATCACATTGATAAGTGAAAAATAGCTTTTAAAATGCATATTCAAAAGATTCTAGAAATAGACAAGGACTCTGTCCAACTGGTAACTTTTTTACACAACCCAGAGATAAAGCTTTTTTTTCTTCCCCCAAATATTTAAAAATCACACTGTAATTACATAACCAATGCAGTATACAGCTGCTATAACTAAAAACAACATAAGGAGGAATGAGTAAAAATATTTCAAAAGAGAAAACAAGTTAAAAAGAAATACAAAGATGTACCTTTAACAGGATTGTCTGAGTCATAGAAGGGAGGACAAGGGATTACTTTCTTCTCCTGCAGATTCTGCAAATAAAACTACTCTTAAATACAAAGAAAAAGCCACCAAACAAAGCCAACTGCAAGTTTTGCAGAAAGCCCAGAGCATTGGTTTAGAGCAACTCACCCGCTCTTTAACACTCATCATGTGCCACTCTGAAATCATGACTTTTCAGTGGCAGACGCAAACCTTAAACTAAACCCAGCATTGGTCTAAGACACCTTAATATTACTGAAGGGCTTGGGCAGCTTCACATGGCTCACACCGTGTGCCACCTGACCAAATTCTGTAGCTTGCAATGCAAAGAAAATAAAGCATACTGCAAAGCAGTGAACAGACATAATACTTACAGGCAGATATTGCACCACGGTGCCATTTTGCCTCCCTACAGCCAGCTGTTTTCCCTTCGGGCTCCAACACACTAAGCAAAAAAGAGAATTTCATTAGCACTAAGGAACTGGAGAGTTACAAGGCCCCACAAAAGCAGGACCAATAAATTAAAACGGCATTTTTTTTTCCCCTGCAAAAAAACATGAATTAAACAGTCATCCAGTCAGAGAGAAAGCAAGACTGCACAGATCAAAAACCAACAGATGATGACTCTTATTTGCATGCTTCCTTGGAAATGAGTCAAGACAGCACAAACCACAGGTGGGCACATTTGACTCTAATTCACAAGATGCAGCCCCTCCAATCAACTGGGGAAGAGCAGTTACATTGCAACACATTTTCCAAGTCTTAGGGAGCCTAAATCCTTCCTTTCTGTGAAGAATTTTTTTTGAAGAAACCTTCTCCCCAGACAAATAGCCTGTCTTTTTACACCTCTCAATTCGCTTCAGTTCTTCAGCGTCCGACATTCTGTATGCTATTGTAGGCTGCCACTCACCAGATGTAACAGCTACAGAGGAAGGCAGCGTGGCATACACTTTCACAGAGTCCGTGACCTGCAGGACAGAGATGCTGCCATCGGACAGACAGATGGCCACCATGGCGGGACTAGCAGGGTTCCACTTCAGGTCATTCACCATTGCTGCGCTTCCCGAGTCCTTGGCTAGTTTGTGGTAAGCAAATGCACGTTTCTGCTGTTTTGCCTTTTAGGAAAGACATATACATGAGACAGTCAAAGCGGAGCACAAAACCAAGTTCTCCCAAAGTCATAATCCAAAGCGTCTTTGACCTTTCTATAAATTACTGACTGATAAAAATAAGAAGCAGATGTTGAGTTTACTGAACAAATCCTTTACAAGACACCTCCCACAGAGAAACACAAAATCCCACCCGAGATATGCCTCTCCTCCTGCTGTAATTTGAAAAAAAAATTTAAAAGCCATTTTGCGTATACTTTACCTGATTTAAGAACGTGCGGACATCAAAAAAGCCAATGAAGGAACCGATCTCACTGGACATCATACAGACGGACAGCGTGAGATTATCACAGCTTAGAGCAAGGTGCTGCACAGGAAACTTCATGGGAACTAAGGTACTCTGAACATTCTCCACTTAAAACACAAAAGGAAAGAAAGACAGAATGAAGGAGACAAATTTAAATAGCAAGAACTGTTCTTGTAAAACAACATCATCAGAACGAGTTTATGCAAAAATCACCAGTCCTATTAACAGCAGCTGTCAAAGCTAACACAGAAAAACTGAGTGACAGCAAACCCCTTCATCTCTGTGAACAGTCTCAAGAGTTGCCAAATTCCTAAGAAAAGAAAATTCCACTTTCCTTCCTCAGTAACCTGGAGGAACAATAAGTGGACAGATTTTTGGTTTTACTTACGTATGCATATGAATACCTCGGGTGGTACAGTTACTAAGGACAAGAGAACAAAACCCATTTTGCACTTAGGTGGTGGAACAGCTACTGCTTTCTCCCTTGCAGGACAGTCTTTTAGTCAGAGTGGATAACTCAGTGTGAGAACTCTGTCCCTCACTCACACACCTCTCTGATGCATACACAGGTTCACAGCTCAAAGACTGGCTACCAAGACAGTGGCTGCAAGGAAAGGGGTACATTCTCAGTTAGGAAAAGCCAGCCTCGCTGTCTGGCACTGAACACAGGTGACCAAACCTGAATGACACTTGAACAGGAGCTAGCACAGAGCATCCTGGTGACATGTTCCCAACAACTGTACTTCATTTCAGCTAGAGGTACAGCAACTATTGTCTCTGCCTTCTCACACAAGAAAACGTGGTAATGCACAAAAGAGCATGACGAAGACTGTATCAAAACCCCAGAGCTCCGTATCATAAAAACCCATATAAAGCTGTCTCTGCAAAGACCACGAGATGTAAGTGTGCCTTACCAATTTTATTGGGATCTTCTCCCAGCTGGTTTTGCATGAGAAGGTTTCTAGTGTGAAAGATCTGCAGGCTGGTTCCTCCACCAGCAAAGACCAGCCCATATTTGTTAGACACCGCAAGGAGACTGGAGCGCTCTTTGGGAAGATCATCCGGAGCATCAAAGATGCGGACCTTCTTCAGTGCTCTGAACTGAAAATCCTGTTGTAAAAGAGTTGGGAAGTAGCTGTACATATGCTGGCAAAGAGGAATAGTTTACTTCAATTGCTCTAAGACATTAAGTTGAAAAGCCTTTTAATGAGAGCTGCAAAACACCTGCCAAGGCAGAGTCCACACCCATGATGTCAATGGCCATCCCATCACATTTTCTGTCTCATCTAAGAAAGACTGAGATCACACCACATTTTTTCCATTGGCTGAATCTCTCTTCCACTCAGTGCCCATGTTCATAAAACCTGTAGGAGTTGAATCTGTCCAGGACATCTAACCTTCTCAGAAACATACCAAAACTAGCCAATGGATACAAAACAAAAAAGAAAGAGAAGGGAACAAAGCAGAGATATGACACAATTGAACAAAACTTGTTGCCACAAAGCTACAAAGCACACATCTGCTTAAACACATCTTTGCTTGCTACTGTAATTTATGATGCACAGAAGAGATACAGTTATTCCTTCCACCCACCCCCAGTAATTACTTTGTATAATCAGACTTATTTTTTGCATTTGTTTCTTTCATAATTTACATTGTGCTTTTGTAAAAGCAGGAAGAGAAAAGCAGAGCAAGACAAAAACTCCAAAAACACAAACTGAATTAAGAAACAGCAGCTGCACTATTACCATGCAAAACCCGAGGTCCCCCTTAGGAACGAGTCTCTCTTCCCAAGGTGCCAATTGTTGAACAGAGCACTGGATCGAACACCAGTAACTCAAATCAGGCATCTGAGTGTTATTTCCTCATTATTACCAAAGCACTGAGTAAGTACATTCCTGCAACCTGAGGAGGCTGCAGGAACTCATAAACTTCTGCAAAACAAACAGCCCAACTCCCTTGTTTTTGAAGGTGCCTGAGCAGAAACCAGGGGCACAAAGATCCACGTGGGCTTCAGGAATCCATCCCCCCATGTCCCTGCTTATGCAGCCTCACAGTAACACTCCGAGAGACACAGCAATGGGCTAGGCTGGCACCACACAGCAAGACTCCAGTTTACACTGTCCCATAGCAGACAACCACACGTGCTGTTCCCAAAAGCAGCAGATTCCCAGCACAAGGAACACTGACAGGAGGACTTGGAAACACATCACTTCTCTCCCAAAATAAGCTTCCTCCAACTCTCATGTTCTGCCTCTCCTCCCCAGGTGTCACCAAGACCCTCCTCCATCACAGGCCATGCCAGCCTCTCCCTCTTCCACCCCACAGGCTTGGACCAGACTCCGCCGAAAAGTCCTCCAGTGCTCCACAAACCCTGCAAGGATGCCTCACAAGGCCCCTGCCATGACCCGAGCCACACCACCCCCCCACCGCCCTGTCAGCCCCACGGCGCAAGCCAAGTTCCTCCCATAACCTCTATCACCCCTCACAGCCCAGGCCAAGCCCTCCCCAAGCCCCGTTCCCCTCATGGCCCCCTCCGGGCCCAAGCCAAGGCCCCCGGCCCGAGCCAAAGCGCCTGTCCACCCCCCTACC